TGATTATTTGAGTCTTTACGAATTAAAGGAAGATAACCATCAACACTAAGATCACAAGATGAGACAGCTGAACTCAAATTAGTCTCACAAAGAGCAAGCAGGTCTGGTGAACTTTGCAAGAGATAAGACTCAACAGAAGAAAAGTTACTTCGAAGACCACGAATATTGGTGAATGATAGGTTTAGCGAACTTGGTGATGACTGTGGTTTTTTGTGTTTTATAGTTTTTGTTACTTTATTCATTTTTAAATTTGTTAAAGAACTTGACTCGAAACATAGATAGTACTCAGTACATTGTCTTATAGCCCAAGCAATTGCCTCATTTCCACTAATAAAGCCTAAGCTGTAACAAAGGGCTCTAATGTGGCCTTGACAATGCACACCAAAAGTACAAACAGGGACACCATCCATGCGCAACATGCACTGTTAGTACTCTGATATTTTTCAGCTGTTGATGGAATCAGCCTCTCTGAGAGCTACCACAGAGTTCGGGAAACCTGACTACCAGCCAACCTCAGAACCATAAAACTGAGTTTTAAAGCTGTACCCTCATTTGGGGATAATAGAATGAGTTGCCTAGTCATAAAAACAGAGACACAAGCAAAACCCATGAATCGAGTCAAGAAGATCCAGCATTCAATATCCTAAACTGGAAACAATGTATTAAAAATACATCTGCGCCAGCCTAATAGATGACGAAGGGGTGCGAGGCTGGTCAACAGATAGAATCTGTTTACTCCTTAAAAACTTCATGAAATTATAAAATCATGCATGATACATCGACCATGTGGAACTTAAAAAAAAATCCCAATTTTTCCTGCATGAAAGATTGGAAATGTACAAAAATATATCCCTAAGAATTTAATCCCAACACTTTTGCGGTATTTAATGGTTATCCACACTATATACCTGATGATAATATAAGAATTGTCAATATAAAAAGTAATCAAGTTGATAACTGTTGGGTTGTACCCTATAACCCAGGGTTATCTAAAAAATATCAAGCGTACATAAATATTGAAGCCTGCATAACGTCAGTTAAATATTTATATAAGTACATTTTGCAAAGGGACAATTGACAGTGTCAATGTGTTGACAGTGTCAATGACATCAACACATTGACAGTGTCAATGTGTTGATAAAGTTAACCAAGATGAAATAAACACATTTTTAAATTGTCGCTATGTCTCAGCTCCAGAAGCATTGTGGTGAATATTTGAATGTTACTTAAGTGTCACATATGTCACATAACATCATGTTTCTTTTTCTGTTACAAGTAAGTTGTTGTACTCACTTATACTTGACTTATTACATTGATTGGTTGGTTTTATTTTATTTTTAATTTTTCTATGTCATTTTATTTGCTGCATCTTCAAATACAATAAGTAAGTTTCTGTACATGCCAATAACTAATTAATACTACATTAAATGAATTTTATTTTTTATAATTGCTTATTATTTATACTACATTAATTGCTTTTATTGTACTTTTTAAGTTTTTAATATAGCTACAGATGCGTCTTCTGTCTTCAGCTCAAAAGTTGTAAATTACATTTTAAATTTACAACTTTTGAGCTACTTACAGTTTTTTTTTTTTTAATTTTTTTTTTTAATGTCTTTTTGTTTATTAATTTTTGTGTTGTATTCAATTTTTATCATTAATTTTATTGTTATCAAGTTAAATCATTTAAATGAAGACATTTTTATTAACAATACTCAATGACCAAAAATAAAAGTCACGGCCAAACATTTGATAAAGTTAATGTTAATCTCAAAGAGCCTTGATTTTTACACAACCGAATTCCATGTAGCACGTTCTAGAACCAAGACAATTTATAATGTGTTGTAAAACTTTGATAAAGATGAATTATAAGGTATGTCATTGAATATATATTACATAAATAATATTTCATTTTTAAAATCTGATGTTTGCAATGGTTTTTAGTAAGTAATATTATATCTCATGATGTGGTAATATATGTTCTTTATTATATGATAATGTTAATATGTGTTATATAAAGTTATAGATTTATATTTTTTCAAATGTTTATGTATGTTTCAAAGTGTTTGCTGTAGTTAAAATATGTACAATAAACTCAAGATAACTCAATAACCCTCAATTTTAAATTAATTTTGAAATTCCAGTTGAGCCTTTTTTTATGGATTATACTCCCAATAACTTTAATACTCTTAATAAACTAATTTCTTCGTCCCTTGGAGGAGTTATTTAGAGTTAACTGTAATACCTTATCCAATTTAATTGTTTATTGTGATGTTTTATGCTACTAGACTTAGCTCACCTTCACAATGGTGTTAAAAGTGAGAAAAATAAAAAGTAAGTTTTTTTATCAACTTTTGCACTCAATTAATTTTTTAATAAATTAATTGAGTGCATATCACGTTAATTTGTAATTAATGTGTAATGAGTGTTTTTTTTAATAATTTTGTTTCATTTTTAGGTCAAGTTCCTTCTCTTATGGCTGAGTTTTGAAAATTTTCCTACAGAGAATAATTTAACAAATGTTCTGAATGTTGATCATTTTCTAAAAGCTATAACGAAGTTACGATTATCTTCATACCATTTACTAAAATCTATAGAACAATGAAAGAATGTTCTTAAGTTGCTTTTATAAGTACTTTTGATACTTTTTTATGTTTAATTTGTTCTTTTGTAATTTTTTTTTTCCTAATATTTTTTTGTTTTATCTCAAGGAAAATGTTTTTTGTTTCTCACATAAATTTTTATAGATAACTTTCTGTTTCTACGCATTGCTCAGAAGAATTTTTATAGATAACTTTCTGTTTCTACGCATTGCTTGAAATTATTACTTCGTATAGATCTATTCTTCACAGAATTTTTTCTGTAAAATAAAATCAAACCGAGCTAACTTATTTGACATAACAGGAACCGTTACCCGTTTTCAGTGTCTTTTGTATTTTAAATAAATTTTAATGAAGCAGTTAATAAAAATTGGTTTATAAATCTTTGTTAAAACCTTAAGATTCCTAAAACACCAAAAGAAATATTACATGTCATCTATGTTAAAATTATATAAGTATAATTTTAAAGTATAATAAATTAATTGTTGCTCAAAAGGCAAGAACTTTGAATTGATCAATTTTCTGCTGTTTATTAAAGTTCATTGATGTAAGAACACCAAATTTAAAACAAGTTTAGATATAGTCAGGTGTGAAACAGATTTACCATCGTACAGATCATGATAGCTAGTATAAATGATTGTTTCAAGTATTTCATGAAATAAAAATGTATTTGATAACTCAAACTTTGTAAGCAAATCATGAGGTTTGTATTTTGTGTCAAAAATATAAATCAATCTGCAAAATCCATCTAAACTTAAAATAATATTTCCGCATAACTAAGCAAACTAGAGCCTTGATCACCAGGCCCTGATTATCTCAAGTTCTATCAAAATTTTTCTCCTCTAAGTAAACTCAAAGTTTCCAAAAGCAAAACCAAAAGCAGGAATCAGATTTTTATTTAAAATCGAATACTACAGCTTCACAAAAAATATTTGTTTTTTATGTTTTATATATTAAATAAATTTGTTTAAAAATATTTACAAATATTTTGTGATGGCATCAAAAATTTATATCTTCATGAGTAATATTGGCTGTATATATCCAACTTCATGAGTAATACAACCTGTATATATCCAACTTAACATTTCAACTATATAGTCTAATAATCTAGATTAAAAAACTATGCAATTTTAATAAATACTATAAATAAATAAATATATAATCATCACAATATTGATTCTTGCACTGATGATGACAACAACCTTGCTGAGTACTCTATATGCATATATGTCTTCTGGAATTATCATTCACAACTGAGCTCTCATGGAAACCATAAATACAATCTTGTATTTATGGTTTCCATAAATACAAGATTGAAAACCTTGTAAAGTTAGCATCTACTAAGATTGCCTCTTTTTAATGAGCTTGCTAATTCCTTATTCATTCAATTCTTTATTTCTATAAACTTCAACTATGTAGGTAACATTGTTGTTACACTTGGACTGGTTCTTTTAATGATCTTTTTCTCTTTAAGACAAGATCTAAATATGATAATAAAATTAGCTATTATGCCTATTAAGCCTACACCCCATCATTGTAAGGACTTCTTTTGTTTTCTTTAAGTGCTACCATGGTTGCTGTTGTAAGGACTTTTGTTTTTTTATAAGTACTACCATAGTCGCTTCTCTAGTGAGCTATCATCGCTTCATCAACCAAAAACTCATGTAACTCATCATCAAAATTTAACTGTAAAAATTTCAAAATTTCTCAAAATTTACTTTAACTGTAACTGTTCCTTTATGCTCTAAAAAATTTGATTCAACTTTTTTTCCTCCCATGCCAATATATGCCATGATATTCTATCCTATCTTCATGTTTACCTGACTCAAACAATTTACAGTTTCCAACTCTTCAACTGTTTTCTTGACCTTCAATTCTCTTCTTTGCTTTTTTTTTAGTTTCCCAACTTAAACAGGGGTTGTTTGTAGCTTTGTAAAAAGTTAATTTGTTAAAAAAACTGTAGTCAATTATTTCTAACTTTAATTATGTGGTTTTCTTTTATAGCAGTTAATGCTTGTTCACCATCACAAGATGCTTTTAAAACTGATTTTAATTTATATAAATAATTCATAAAGTCTTGAACATTATTTATAATTTATAAATTATTAATAATATATATTTAGTAATAATCAATTTAATAAAAATATTTAATAATATTCAATGTTTAAGACTTCATAAACTTATATAAAAAAAATTTAAATTTAAAAAATGCATATCACAAAAAAATGATTGAAAGTTTAAATTAAGATTTACAATCAAATGTTTTAAAAACTTTTATAAACAGGAATTTTTTTGATCTGAATTTTTTTTTTTTGTTCTTAATTTTAGGTTTTAATTAATTTTTAGTTTTTGAAAATATATAAAACTACTTTAAGAAGTTCAAACTATAAATAAAGTTACTTTACAAATCCCATCATCTCCACCTGATATTAGAATAGATGAAGAGTTATTTGAAAACCGCACCGCATTTACATCATCATCATGAGCTAGTACCTAAAAAAGATTTATAAATATTTATATTTGTCAAAAGATTAGTACCTAAAAAAGATTTGTAAATATTTATACTTGCTAAAACACCAAAAAACATTCAAAATATAAGATAACATTTAAAATAGTCAATAAAATGCTATATATCACTGATATATTATACAAAATGATTTTATCTGCAATAAAAAAAAATAATAAATTTTATTTTTGAAACTAAGATTTAAAAAAAAAAAATACTTTCACCTAAAGTTAGAAATATTTAAAAAAAAATCAAAACATTTCAAAACCACTTCTTTTATCACTTCAAATGAATTCAAAGAACTTCATTAACTTTATTATTTTTACAAATTTTCCATTATCAATTTTAGTTTTCACTTTAAATTGATATTTACATTGGAATTTTCATCTTATTCTTTACTTTGGAATGTCTGACATTTAATTTGGAATGTCTGACATTTTCTTTGGAATGTCTGACATTTACTTTGGAATGTCTGATTTTAACTTCAGAATATCTGACATTTTTTTAAGATCTTTAAACTACTCAACCATGACCACAATTATGACTATTTGTAGTTGACTTATGATAGTTACCATAATATAAAAAAAGAATTTTTCTTTTATAAACTTTATAAAGTTATAGCTTTGTATAGTTAAGCTCAAACAAACTGTCAACCTGATTAGAATATATTTGGAATGTAAAACAATTTTATAGAAAAAAACTTTGTGTGAATGAATTGAAGAATGAAAAAAAGAAGTCTCTTACTTATTCATTAATCATTTATCTTATATTTATTAAACAAAATTCATTTCCATTACATTGTTGTCTGAAATTTCTTATCAAAAAATGAATAAAAATTCCACTAATTAAATAAACCAATTATTGACTACATTAACAGCACAACTTATGCTTTCTGTTAACTACCAACTTAAATAGTGGTTGCTTGCAGTGGTTATTATTTTTAAATAGTGATTGCTTGTTGATATCAACCTTTTTTTAATAATTTTTTTTTTTTTTTTACATAAACTTTTTTTTTACATTAATATTACTTTTTTACATAATATTTTTGGATATTCTAGATCTTTTTGGACAATGTTTAATTAACAACTAAACAAACTAAACAACCTGTAATATGATTTTAGTTTAATAATTAGATTTTTTACTACCAGAACAATTGGAACTAAAAGCAATGTATTGACAACAGTAATACGATTAAAACTTTATTCTTCTTAATTGAAATATTCATTAAAAACGTTCCAGCAACAAGTATTTTACTTTATCCAAATATGAAATGTTTAAAATAACCTAAAATGAAGACCCCATAAGTTTGACAAAACTGATTGATTAAAAAAATTTTCTTTAGTTACCACTACATTTTTATGGCTAATTATTTTTAAATTTTTTAATAATAAAAAAAATTATCATTACAAAAAACTTCATAATAAAAAAAATTATTATTATAAAAAACTTTGTCAAAAAATATACAAATATTTTAAGTTCCTGCTTGAACCTAATAAAAAAACTTATTGACTAAATTTAATTTTAATCAAACGCATTGACTAAAGTGTAGTGCATATATATAATTATGTATGTTTTGACTGGTGATTAATTTGTTACTAAATATATACAGGATGTGCAGTTCAATATAAACTAATACTATTCTTGTTGTATCAATTAAAATATAAAATAAAAGTAAAAAATATAAAAGTATAAATTAGTAAAAAAAACCAAAATAAAAAAATTTAAATATATTAATACATTTTCTGCAATAAATTTTTTGTTAAAAAAGAAAAAAAGTAACAAAAAAAAAGTTAGTAGAAGTCCTCTGACTATTTTTGCTTGCAAACAACCAAGAAAAAAAAGCAAAAAAAAAAACAAACAAAAAAAAGTCAGTAGAAGTCCTTTAAAATCTATTTTGCTTTGAAACGAGAAAGCAAAAAAGGGTGTTGTTTTTTTTTTTTTTTTTTTTTTTTTTTTAACTTTTTAAAATTTTAATAAAACATATTTATAAAATAATATTTTACAAACATATAAATATTTTATTATATTAAAATATTAAACTTATTTTGGGAAACCTGTTAAAAAGAAAATAAACAATTTTATTGCTTTTGTTCCAAATTTTTTATTTTTTGTAATAAGGTATGAACATAAAAACTATTTCAGGTAAATTAGTTTTATAAAAGTAAATTATTCAATAATTTAGTTTTACAAAAGTAATTATTTAATAATTTAGTTTTTTAAAAGTAAATTATTCAATAATTTAGTTTTATAAAAGTAAATTATTTAATAATTTAGTTTTATAAAAGTAATTAATTAATAACTTTTTATTATTTAACATAATTATGATTTATAATATTAAATAATTGATACAAGTCTTTGCTTAAAACAATATAAAAAAATTTTTAAAAAAACTTGCAATTTAATAAGTTCTGATTTACTACAACACAACTGTATTCAAAAAAACATAAATCTTGGCAAACAAGGCAGAGAAACTGCGCAGAGAAACAAATTTAGTTGTTTCCCTATAAATGTTATTTAACTTTTCTAACTATTAGAAAATTTTTGCAAAAATTTTTATAGAGCACTTTCCAATCAACTTTTTTATCAAGATTTGATTTTTTGTAGCTAACTTTTTGCAACTTTTTCTGAAGCCTCCATTTAAACATTTGTGAACAAGTATATTGACACAAGTGTTATATATACCTCTTAAAAGTTTAATCAAATTGTTGTTAATAATCTTCTCTACAAAACTTTAAACTGAGTAGAATAAGTTTTAAACAAACATAGTTTAACAGTTGCCAAATTTAAGTAGTAACAATTAGCTCTGAAAAAAATAATCAACTTGATTCAAAATACCAATGTAGTCATTAGATATTGGAGGTATATTGCAACATAAATATTTCAAATAAATGATAGAAATGCTAAAATGATTAACACCCAGTACAAAACTAGAAAACTATCTGAAGCAGTACAAAACTAGAAAACCATCTGAAGTATGCCACATATATTAGAATATAGGATTTATATAAAATATGAAGAGCATGAAATATATTAAAGTATACATATGCAGAGTACATGATTAATTTATATTGTATTCTATTTTAATATCTTACTCAGCAGCACACAATAAAGGCAATTGTACACTCCATGATGAAGCAAATAATACTAAATCAACTACACAGTGTAGAGGATTTTGTATTTCATGTTAATAGATATACCAAAAAAAATAAACCAAGTTAGATTAAAAAATTTAAAAAAGAATTTTAGACATAGTTCAATAAATAGTTGTACAATTGTTGTTTGCACCATTTCTAAAGAAAAATAGTAATGGGCATTAATAATTTTAAATGCACAGACAGTAATTTATCCCTATATCTAACAAGTTCAACTGATATACCATCGAATACCCCGGCGAATGTTTTTTAACCTAGATTTAGCTAAGCTAAAGTCAGAGAAAACAAATTCTGTATTCCAAGTGAAGATATCAACAGTAAACCATTATTACCATGCTGTATTCCAAGTAAAGATATTAACAGTAAACCATTATTACCATGCATATAACAAAATAGCTTAAAAGAGTCTTTTCGCGTATTAGCAATTGACCAATTAAACCTCCTATAGTAGTTGTATTACATGTCATTTTACTGTTGGACATCTTTTTATATTTTTTTCCAGAAACAGCTACATTTTTTTTTAATCATGAAAATCTTTTTCTAATTTATCATAGAACAGCATTTCTTATTAGTTCTACAGCTTCCCAGATTTTCAGTCAGAACAATCAACAGGGAGTTCTAGACTGAAAGTAGAAAGATTCAATTAAAGTCTTTAACTTTCCACCTTTCATGGCCACAAATCCAGGAAGTATTTCAGTGATAAGTACTTGATTGCCCTTTCGACTGAGTCAAGTCATAAAGATATTGGCACAGCAAACACCATTTAATGATGAAATGAATGTTTCAGCCAATATTAAAACAGCTTTGTAGAATTAGTAGACTTTTTCTACACTTGTGCTATTGGCAATTGGGATGTTAATACCTTTTGGGATGTTTGGGATGTTAATACCTTTCTGGTATTAACGTCCCAAACCTTTAACAACATTAACAAAAGTCTTTACAGTGGACTTTGCACTAGGCAGCTATATATTAGCAATTTATTATACTAGGATGTAAAGCTCATCAACCAATGTCGAATCTGACAGCACATGTATCATTTCAAGTTTTAACTATGAAATTACTTATAAGTGCAAAAGTCTTGTATTTCTTTCAATAGTGCAGGCATATCACAGTGAGTTGGATAAATTGGTGGCAATCAAGGCATAGTAGACAATCTTCCATGGTTTTTTAACTTGTATCAATCTTATATCTCGAACATTCTGCGTTGAACACACTAATTTAGAGCCAATTGAGAGGATGTAACTACATCAGTTTATAAATGTTAGCACACAATTGTCTATTAAAGTTTGCATAAAAAAGTCACACCAGCACATTGCACTCCTGTTGAACAACATAGTTGACTTTAATAAAACTCAGTAATAAAAAATACTTTTTTTTATTATTGAGTTCCTTTTATAAGATTTTATCAAATTTTATACAAAGTTCTTTATGAACGAAATAATTTTTATTATAACAAATTAGATAAAGATTACAATATATACATTTGAATACAATAATTTGATATCAATACTATTTTTGAATCCAATAATTTGATATCAATACTATTTTTGAATACAATAATTTGATATCAATACTATTTTTGAATACAATAATTTGATATCAATAATATTTTTGAATACAATAATTTGATATCAATACTATTTTTGAATACAATAATTTGATATCAATACTATTTTTGACAATATAATATTGACAAAATTTTGTCTTTTTTATTTATGCTTTTGGCATTTTGCCACTTTGATGATAACAGCAACAAAGTTTTTAAAATCTTAAAAAAATCAAGAAATACAGAGTAGCATATCGACAGCAACCAAAAAAATAAGTAATAAAGTACAGTAAAAAACAAAAAATAAATGTGGAAAAAAATTAACCTACTCTTGTTGTTCTCTTTTCACTACTTATGTCATATATATAAAAACATCGATCGCTGCCACTAAAAAAATTACCAATAAAATTTCAGCTTAAAAAATAAAACTATTAAAATAATAGGTAAAAAAATTACCCAGCCAAAATTTCTTTGCTGTCTTGAGAAAAGCAAACAGAAAAAGCACAAAACCTACTTTCTTGAGGTCTAAAAATGATACATATATACAACAAATAAAATATACATAGAAACAACTAAAAAATACATATAAACAACAAATCTAAAAAACAAAAAATAAAAAATACAAATGAAATTCAGGCTTCTGTATCTAGCAGAAAGCTTACTTAATATTATGTAAAAATATTATGTAAATAGTGTTTAAAAATTTAACACAAAAATTTCATTAAAGGTTAAATTGAATTAAAATAAATTGAACAAAATAAATGTTGAAATTAATTTTAATACCTAATTCAAAAATTCAAAAATTTTAAAAAATCAAAAAATTTTAAATATGCAAAGAATTTTTAAATATGCAAAAAATTTTAAATATGCAAGAGTGATTCGAGGCTTTTTTTAAGATGCTTTAATTATCAAGAATACAATACATAATGCCAAATAGAAGTAACAAATGATTTGCTTGAATCTATAGACAAATTTAATTTTTAATACAATGTTGTTCTAAAAAAACATTTTTGAAACTAAAAAATTTAATTTGTTTGAAGATTTATAAATAAATATAAAAAAAAAAAGATGAAAAATAAAATAAAAGTTTTTAGAGCGCGAATGGACAGATACAGTAAAAGAATGCAACTTTGCTAATTGTCAACTCAAGCAAGAATGAGTTTTGATTAATGGAACTAGAGAAGATAGCTCATTTGAGCATAAAATACAAGGACCATAATACAATTTGTAGAAAAGAGAAGATGATGCAAACTTATGACAATGGAACCAGTGGCTCAAACTTGGCAGAAAAACTAAGTTGAACTACATTTACAATATGCTTTTTGACCTTGCCATGAAGAGAAAGAGCATTATTAGAAGTACCAGCTCAAATATGACAAAAGTATTCTATAGAGAGATGAATAAGGGATTTGTAGAGGCTGATAATGGAGTGAGCACAATAAAAACCTTAGCAGATGCTAACCATGCGATGTATAAATAATTTTTATGAGAAGTCAAGAATGAATGATCCAAAATGATATAAAGTATAGAACTAAATGAGCATGCTGTCATCATCAATATGTCAAAAAAATTGCAATAGTTTTTTACAGTAAATAAATGAGTTTTGTTAGAATTAAAATTCACAAGCTACTGCAAGCTCTAAGCTATTACAGAAGAGAGATCAGGTTAAGTTTTCAGCAAATAGACCCACTTTAGATGTGCAATTGTCAGGATTACCAATAACGTAGATACCAATAAGTAGATAACCAATAATAAAGATAAGAAATAATACAGAATGAAGGATTGAACCTTAGAGTAATAAACACTATTCAGTTACAAAAAACAACAAATCGACTCATTAGTGGTCATTAGTGGTTATTAGGGGTCATTAATGGTCATTAGTGGTCATAAGTGGTTATTAGTGGTCATTCTAGTCATGAAATGTCACAAAAAGTAACAGTTTTTTTGAAAAAACATGAAACAATCTGGAAAAACTTTATAACAAGCATTTTTTGCTATGAACTTACAATGACCAACACTTATATAACCAAAATATAAATGACTAACTGTGATAAACAATTATGAATAAATGATTGACATTTACAGTATAACCAAACCTACAGTATCCATTTGCATTTTTCAGTAAAGCATTGCCAAGGTTGAAATACAAAATAAAAATTGATATTATTAATAACATACTAATCAAAATAATATATTTTCTCTATTTATAAAAAAAATTTTAACAAACTTTAAATCAAGAGCCAGATGAGTCTCATAATCTCCGTAAACATTACATAGGTGAACTAAAAAAAATTGAAAAAAAAATATTTAAGAAATTCAAACAACTAAGAAACTTAAAGCAATAAACGGCTGCATAGAAAACTGATATTAACATTAAATAAACATTTTAAAGAAAAACACTGAAAAAAAATTATTTGAAATGCTGTCCATTAGTTACATAAAAGTTACTTTAACTTGAAAATGATGTGATTGATGATTAAATGATGCAGGATTAAATAATGCAGAGATAAGGAGGCTTTAAAATGATCAATAAAAGTTATTTTATCAGCTAACAGTTTAAGAAAGAAAAGTTCAATAAAAACAAGTTATAAGAATTTATTTACTGTTATGGCTATTAGTTTCTTTTATATATTTTAAGGATAAATATTTGTTTATATAATTTTTTTTTTTAAACGTTATTTATATTTATTTATACTTTTTTTGTTAAAATTTTATGAAAAAAAGTTAAAAATGGCTACTAAATTTTCTTGAGTATGTAGAATTAATTAAACAACATTTTTCCGGCTGTAACAAACCCTACTTATGAAATTTTGTATGGTTTCTGGTAATTTATTTAGGCTCTACTATTTTATTTGGTTCCTCCTATTCCATATAGAATATGTTTTCTTGTTCCAATAAGGAAACACAATCCTGCAAGACATAAGCAAATTCACACTCTCTAGCAGTAATTGTTTCTTCTTTAAAATTAAATTATCAAGTTTTCCTCAAACATTAATGATTAGAAATTCTATTTTGTTTTGGGTTTTAAAACTAATTATTTTCTCCTATCAATTTCTTACTATTTTTTTTTTTTAAATTCCTAATGGTGGTTGTATGCAACCTTATTGGATGTTCATTTATTAAATACAAAGAAACAAAAACAAAAAAAATAAATACATAAATAACATACCATACTCAGACCAACTAGAATAAATAATATAGTTCTGATCAGGACTGTAAGAAGCATCAACAATACTCCATCCTACATCTTTTGCTATTATATCATGAAACATTTTGAACTTTCCATTTGTAGTATCATACAAACGTATATGTTGATCTAATATTAAAAATAAGAAAACAATGTTGTTTCCCTCGAGAGAGAGAGAGTGGGCAAGAATAGGAAGAGATTACTGCAAGATTTAATATTAATTATGAATGATATCAAACACAAATATAAATAAAAATACAAGTACAAAATCATATATATATCACATAAATGGTTAACATTTGAAAAGAATCATAAGTATCTGAGCACAACATGTAACAAGGGTGAAACAACAACATGTAACAACATGTAACAAGGGTGTAACAACAACATGTAACAAGGGTGTAACAACAACATGTAACAAGGGTGTAACAACAACATGTAACAACATGTACTTTAACAAGGGTATCCTATTAAGTTATTAACATACAAAAAATAAAAACAACTTTATTTTAAGATAAAAGTCTGGACCTTGGCAAGCTGACATAAAAACATTCCCATCTGAAGAATATAAACCACAAAATGCTTTTGATCTGTAATTTGCAACAACTTTACAGACATTTGGAAGGTAACTATGCAAATATAAATAAAATTTAACTCTGTAAAGATAAATAAAAGTCTCAATTCTTTCACATTTATTTATTTATATAAAATAATAAAAAACAACTTTTTGTTGAGAGCGCAATCATACACACAAAAGTATTTTAGTGTTAATGCCAACACAAAAATTTTTTAAAATATTATAAACAAAATTTTTCTGTTTTATTTTTTCTTAACTTTTTATAAGCACTTATAAAAAACAGTTTTGACTAAAGTCAGTATAAAAAAACAGAATATTAATCTCTTACACTTGTAAAATTCAAGGGTTTTGTTAAAAAAAAATCAAATTTTAGAAGAGATAAAGAGAGTCAAACTGTTTAAGTACCTGTTGTCTTAACACCTTCCCCTGTATAAATTCGTATATTTTTGGATAAGCCTACCTCCACCCAAACCTGCATAAGCACTTCATAAAAGACCCCTAAGTATAATATTCCTTCAAGAATTAAATTATAAGGAAATCTTTTTCAATTAGTGAAATTATATTTCAGGCCTTGTTATGAGATTTTATTGCATAACAAAAAAAGTTTATTGTGTAACAAAAACTTGTAACGTTAAAAAAATTTTACACTAACGTTAACTAAATTTTACTTATTTATTTTAATTAATTTTGCAAAAGCAAATTAATTAAAATAAATAAGAAAATAAAGCATGATTAATCTCTAAAAACCTTATAACAAGTATTATTTTGCTATGAGCTGACAAAACAAAACAAAAAAAATAGATAAGAGAATCAAATAGTTTTTTAATTATATACTTACATTGTTAAAAGTTAAATTGCATCATCATTAATCTATTTTAAAGTACTGCATTGTAATTAAATTTAATTTTAAACCTCGTTAAAAATCATCAGTTTTTTGATACCCAAAAAAACCAGAACCATAAAGCAACTGAAAACTTGAATTTGGGCAGGTAAATGTGTTGCGCTAAGAGTATTGCGCTATTTGAGAACATGACACTATTGAGAACATGACACATAATCCTCAGGATTTTCATAAATTGGTGTCATCTGTTGACTTGATGCACTGAATGATAACAGGCATCTTCAAACAAGAAATCATTCAGAATCATTCATTCAGACTTGCAAATTTATTCAACCTTAACTGTACAAATACAAATAACTTTGCATATTAGCATTAAATAAAGCGGTATTGATTACATAATACTGAAAAAGCTATTTGTAAAGGCTTAAGTGCATGCATCAATTAAGGGTTGGGTCAGGTACTAGCAAGATATGAAAGACTTTTATAGCTAAAAAAATTTTGTTTGTATAATTATTTTTCATTTTTTGCTTCTTTTTTAAAAAAAACAAATTAAATTTTAAAACTCAAAGTGTGAAAAATATCTTAGGACAACCTAAAGCAGCAAAAGAAAGTGTATATAAAATTTCTCAATAAAAATAAATAAATACCTTTTAGAACAAACTGCTTGATCAGATAACAAAAAATGACTTCTTTTCTTCAAACAACCACTCTCTCTCTTAAAAAAAATTTTAAAATGCCAGATGTTACCATATTTTTCACATAATTGAAATTTAAGCCAAATGCTGCTTGTCACATTTTTCAGCAATTAAATAGATTAACAATTTATCAATAAATTTATCTAAACATATTGCAATTTTGAAATTATAAATTTTTTTGCATAAACTTATTTTATCATAATACTTTAAACAGTAAGTTCTCAGAACTTATTGTTTAAAGTTTGTTTTGTACTGTTGGGGCCAAAATTGCTTATACCAAAACATTTATAACTAAAACAAAACACTTTGTTAAACTTAGTGCATTAATAAAGTTCAAGATGGTCATTTTCATTTATCAAGATGGTCATTTTTTCTTAGCTTTTAACAAGCAACAGTAAAAGTTATTTTGTCCTTTAAAGTGTTCCCATTTTAGTCGTTTTACATTTTGGTTTATTATCTACTTAAAAACTGTGCTTTTTTAGCTATGTTGTTTATGAATATTTTTTAACTTTTTTGGTGTTTTATTATTAGCTTTGGAATAATAAAAGAAATAATTTTCCTATTGAGATTTTGAACATTTTACTGTTGAAGGTAATGTTTAATGGCACTCAAATGAAAGTTTGCACAAATAACATTGATGCATCAGTATTGACAGGTACTTATGTTGGTAAACAGGAGTCAGTTTTTCAAGTCCAGATAGCCCCATCAGATCCTAATTTACTTTTTGTACTAAAATGCTATCCAGTTGAATTGCTAAAGTTAAAATGCTTCCAGTCTGATTGATATAGGTCAATAACTTTTATTTTTGTTGTTAAAGAAAAACTTAATGTTAAAATGTTTGAGAGATTTCAAGAACTTGATTCTTTCACTTTTCAGCTTTTTATCAATTTTTTCTCATTTTTTAGAAATCTTAGTCATTATTTTGATTTTGTCAATTTTTTTTTTTTTTTTGCGCCTGTTAGTAAACTTTTATGATTTGAAAAATACCTTATTAACTAACAGTTAGGATAAAAGTTGAATCCAACACAATTATAGAAATTATTTTCTATACTGGAAATTTTACAAAAAGAGTTAAAATTGTTAATTATTATGTCCTCATATAATCAGTAATAACTTTTTGTTATGAATATTGTAATAACTTGTTGTATACCTTTGTTTTAGACTTTAAAACCTTTAAATTTACTTAACATTTTAATACAGTGTACTAAAGTTTGTATAAAACTCTACAATAATGAAATTTTATTACTAATTCTATAAAACCCCATATTATTTTGCAATAATTTTTTTTGTTGGTTTTAGTATTTTTTTGTTTTCACTTCTTAATTCCTAATTCTAAATCCTATTTCTTTACTTTTCTAGCAAAATCAAAAAAAAAAAGAAAAAATCATACAAACATTAAATAGTTCAAATAAAATTTAAAAATAAAGTTTAAAAAATGAGTTTTTTTAATTTCTTTTAAACCAACCGACTTTTTGATTACCTTATGCTTACTTTTTTAAAGTCTATTTTATTATATTGAAAATGTAATTATTGATTTATGTAATAAAAATGTTTAAATTGTTCTTTATTAAAAAAAAAAAAAGTAAAAATTGATGATTTAATGGTAACTTTTTTTTTTATATAGCTATTTGTTGACAAACTAAAAAACAATATTTTAAAAGGACAATATTTTATTAGTAAATAAAAACAAATTTACCTGAAAAACTCTTTGCAAAATATTTTGTGGACTTTCATTATACACACCAGAGTCGTTTGAAACAATTTCTTTGAATGTGCTGTTCTAAAAATTTAAATTTTAAATTTTGTGTTAAGGAAACCCTCTAAATGTCATTGAAATTTATATTAAACATAAATGGATTTGGTTTTATATTATTTATACTATTTATTTATATTATATATATTACATTACTATCATATTATATATCTTATGATAACCAAATATGTGTTTATATATAATCTCATAACTCTTTTGATGAAAGTGAGGTTTTGAGGCCATTTGAAAACTTTTGATGAGACCTTTTGAAAACTTAGGTTATATATATTTATGTATCAAAAAATTGCAAAAATAGATGGTCTTTAACGCATCCTGATAACCATATATGTGTGTGTGTATGTGTATATATATATATATACATATATATATATATATATATATATATATATATATATATATATATATATACATATATATATATATATATATATATATATATATATATATATATATATATATATATATATATATATATATATATATATATATATATATATATATATATATATATATATATATAATATATATATATATATATATATAAATATATATATATATATATATATAAATATATATATATATATATATATATATATATATATATATATATATATATATATATATATATATATATATATATATATATATATATATATATATATATATATATATATATATATATATATATATATATATATATGAGTGGGTCAGAAGCCAAGGGGTACAAGTGACAATTTTACCAAAATTAAGTTAAGTATAGAATTTGATAGAAGAAGCAAACAAAATTGTTGGTGGCCAAGGGATACATGTGAATCTCTGCCCTGTGCTGCTTTCTACTGGAAAAACATAACAACAGCTGAGTATATTTAACAAAAATACTTTAACTTTAAACAGCTGTATCTCAAAACTATGAAAATGTCACTTGTACCCCCTGGCTTATATATATATATATATATATATATATATATATATATATATATATATATATATATATATATATATATATATATATATATATATTATTATATATATCAAAAAAGTCTTTCACCCCCTGATGATTTTTTAATAAAAACATATTTTTATATGATTAAATATATATTTTTGACCTCAATTTTTTTTTTTTTAATATTGAATTTATGTCAAAAAACATTTTTATAACAAGAAATTAACATTCTTATACTTAAAACAAAAAACATCCACTAAATTAGAAAAAAATCACCCCCTAATCATTTTTTAGTTTTTCTGTTGTGTAACTTAACTGGTAAAATTGCAGAAAAAAAAGCCAAAAACAAACAAATTTGATTGATAGAACTTTTTAGGAAAGTTTGTTTTCTTTTTAGGTTCTTAATAAAAAAATCATGATGAAAAGATATGAAATTCATGAATCAGTAAAAGAACTTATCCTGGGACACTATAAAAGTGGAAAAGGATATAAAACTATTTCTAAAATAGTAAATGTTAAGCCTAATAGTGTAGGAAATATCATTAGAAAATATAAAAAAATTAGTACCATAAAAAATTTGCTGAGAAAAGGACACCCAGCTAGGACTACCTTACACATTGATAGAGAAATTATTCGAAAAATTGAACAAGATCAAGGATTATTTGCACCAAAACTTGAAAGACATTTACAAACAGATCATGGTATAACTGTAAATCCTCAAACTGTTTGTTTGAAAAATCAAGGATTTGTAGGTAGAGTTGCTCCAAAAAAGCTCTTTTTAAGTAAAAAAAAAACAAAAGAAAAGATTTGCTTGGGCTAAGAAACATTCAAATTGGACTTTTTACCAATGGCAAATAGTTTTATGGTCCGATGAAACAAAAATATGTTTGTTTAGTTCTGATGGTATCATATGCAAATGGAGAAAAAATGGTGAATGCCTAAGCCCTAAATGTATGAGACAAACTGTCAAGCATGGAGGAGGTAATATTAGGCTTTATTATAACATTTCAGTATTATATATACTTCTAACTTATTTTTTCCTCTTCTTATAGGTTAAATGATGGTTTCAGGCTCCTTTGCTTAAAGTGGTATCGACAAACTTTAATTCATGGACGGAATAATGTCAAAAGAGTTTTATACTGATATTTTGAAGTGAAAACTGAGATCAAGCGCCAGTGCTGGCTTATCTCGTTTTTTTTTTTTTTAATTTTATATTTCAACAGGATGGAGATCCTAAACACACATTAAAGTTAGCTACTCAGTGGTTGAAAAAAAAACAGTATTAAGATGTTAGATTGGGTTCCTCAGTCACCAGACCTCTGATTGAAAATTAATGGGATCTCTTTAAAATTAAAGTAGCTGATCAAAAACCATCGTTTGTTGCAATTAAAGGCAATTCTCATAGTGGAGCGGAAAAAATTTGACTAACAATGACTTAAAAACTTGGTAGATTCAATGCCTAAAAGATGTCTTGCAGTCATCAAGGCAAAGACGCACAAATAGACTATTAGTTAAATATTAGCAATTTATCCCTTAAATAATTATTAGCAATAATTATTTAAGGGATGATTTAGTGTAAGTCAAAAACGATGACACTTTTTTGACTTACACTATTTTAAATTTAGTGGATATTTTGCATGGTGAACATATTAAATTAAATTTAATATGCTCACTATTTAAAAGGTTCACACATTTAAATGTTGGGTAAAATTAAAAGCAGAAGTCTTCTAACAGAACCTTCCTAATATCACTAACATATAAATAATATAATAAAATATTTAAAAAAATTAATAAAAGCGAAGTGTCAAAGAATAATGCCCAAATATCTACTGTTCTACTGAGTCTACTGTTCCCTCAATGCTGTGAAGAATAGAGGCTCTTTTAAAACATAAAGCAGTCTATATAAAGCACTAAAACATGTTTTATACTGTTACTTTTTTATTCTTTTATGTTCGCATATCTTGATTACCTACCTGCAGTACCAGGAATTAGCTAAATGCTAATGTTTATAATATGATAAAATATTGCAACTCTGAGTTTTGTCACCATCTTCACCTGCCTGATACTAAGTTACTATATAATACTCAACTTGTTTCTTTGCGCAGCGGCCTTGTTTGTCAAGGTTCATGTTTCAGAGTTATAGAGTTGAGAAAAGGTTATAACCACAAGTAGCCTCATTATCTGTAGTGGCCTTCTCAGGCTTGGGGAGGTGAATTACCAAAAAAAATTACTACTTAATACTAAATAATACTACTGGCCTGAAGATTGTGGTAACACATGAAATTCAGAGTTGCATTATTTTATTATATTATAAACATTAGAATTTAGATAACTCCTGATACTGTAGATAACAGTAACATATAATAAAAATTGTTACTGTATGTAAAACCTGTTTGATGTGAATTTAATCTTAACTTTTTCATAAACACTTACATCAATAACACTTGTGTCAGGGAGACATTCATCTGAAATAAAATAAAAATTGTATCAGTAAGATATTCATCTAAAATAAATAAAATTATATCAGGACAACATTCATCTAAAATAAATAAAATTGAATCAGAGGGACATTCATCTAAAATAAATAAAACTGTATCAGGAGGACATTCATCTAAAATAATACAAAAACATTGTAAAACAAAATCCCAAATAAACATTGCAATACACAATTGTAACATGAAGGTTATAATGATAAGAATATTTAGTTAAACTACAAATGAAAAAAGTAATGAAAACCTGATGAATGTAATCTGAAATCAACACCAATTATGATTTTACAGTGGAGCAATAATACAACCATTCGAAATAAATGATGGTTTAAAAATAACTTAATTATAAGTAAAAATAACCTTTTCCTCCACTTAAACACAATAATAGAGTTTATATGAAGGAAAAAAGTTCAGCATTATTGTCAAATTATTTAAAAAAATTGACAGTTGATTCAAACAATTTGTTGAGAGTTTGAAAGATTTGCAAGCAAAAAATTAAAATGGCACTGGGCTATCAATAACCATAGCGCAAGACATAAGAAATATTTATACTGGCCTAAGGACAATTAGACACATCCTCATGTTGCACCACAAATTTTATTTTTGCATTTATTTTAAAACTTAAAGTTTTATAAAGTTTTAAAAAAGTACATAAAAATATAAAGTATACTTTATACTTTTATGTACATAAAAGTATAAAGTATACTTTATATCCCCTACATAAAAGTATAAAGTATACTTTGAAGACTGTATAAAGTATAAAATAACTATAAATTCACTAAAATAAATATCAAACTATTTTAAATTTTTCCTTAATATAAAATACCTTGAAATTACCTTGAAATCAAAAAACTAATTATAAATGAGTAATAAAAAGTAATAAAAATTATAAATGAGTAATAAAAAGTAATAAAAATTATAAATGAGTAATAAAAAGTAATAAAAATTAAAAATGAGTAATAAAAAGTAATAAAAATTATAAATGAGTAATAAAAAGTAATAAAAATTATAAATGAGTAATAAAGAGTAATAAAAATTAAAAATGAGTAATAAAAAGTAATAAAAATTATAAATGAGTAATAAAAAGTAATAAAAATTATAAATGAGTAATAAAAAGTAATAAAAATTATAAATGAGTAATAAAAAGTAATAAAAATTATAAATGAGTAATAAAAAGTAATAAAAATTATAAATGAGTAATAAAAAGTAATAAAAATTATAAATGAGTAATAAAAAGTAATAAAAATTATAAATGAGTAATAAAAAGTAATAAAAATTATAAATGAGTAATAAAAAGTGACAAGTAATTATTTTTGCAAATATTTATCATTTTTAATTCATTAATTACTAAACTTTTTTAAATAAAAAATCATTATTAGGCACGATAACAAATTTAAGAAATTATAATAATAATAATGAAATTAACATATTTATTTATACAAATGTTGAGAAAAGAAGGTATTTGCTTATATTAAATATTTTCAAAAATACAATAGTGAATTTAATAAATTGATATTGAAAAAAAATTTAGAATAAAATTAAAATTCCATAATATATTAACAATAACATTTCTACATTGATTTTGTTAATTTAGTTATTTTACCAATTGAACTCTTTTTGTGGTAAATGCAGTAGTCAAAAAAAAGTTTATGTCCAATAAAATAAAAAAAAAATAAAAGAATTTTATGACATAAAATTCTCATTAGGCTAATAAATTAAGCTTTTTTTATTTAAAACAAGACCTGACAATGTAAATTTAAATTGTTTAATTTAAGTCTAATTTATTTAAGTCTAATTTATTTAAATCTTTATAAATTATATAAATTTTATAGTTGTAGAATTTGTGATAAAGTGCCAGATGTAAAGCATTGAACATGTGCTATTTACATTATGCTAAAAAATTTTTTTGGTAATATTTAAATAAATCTTTGGTAATATTTAAATAACTCTTTAATTAATTTTTAAGTTGTTACAGTGTGCGGTTGTTAACATTTTAACAACCGCACACTGTAACAATTTTAAATTAGAAATACATAAAATATGCCCATTATATACAAATATGATAAATGCAGATAAAATAAAAGATAAAGTTTGAATTTTTATAAAACTAACATTTTCATTGAAGTATCGAAATAATCAAAAGAAAATCTCAGAAATTGTTATCAAAAAAAATTTTAAAATTTTATTTTATAAAAAATTGAAAAAAAAGCAAAATAATCTAGCAAGCATACAAATATTAATTTGGACAATATAAGTTTTACTTAGACAATGTATTTATGTAAACAATGTTAGTTTTATAAGTTATATTTGTTTAGGTATTGGAAATACAGCGACAATTAATAAAACATTACTTTAAAAAACTTTATAAAACTTGAACTAACAATATAAATAGTTATACAAGGACTCGAATTAACACATTAATTTAACAAAATCTAATTGTGAAAAAAAAAATGAAGTTTTTATAACATTTATAACATAAAACACAATTAAAATAAAACGAACTAAATATATAGAATTTTTTAATCAATAAAATAAAACATTATCTTCATAAAACTTTAAAAGTCATATTTTCGCAAAAACATTTTTTTATTATTTATTGCTTTTTAATCTATTAATCTTCTTAATCTTATAAATTATGTTTTCATTCAATATTTTCATTCAATTGTTTTGTAATAAAAAGTGAGCGAAGAAATTTGCTTTAATCGAATTATGCTTCGTTAAGTTTTGTTAAAAAAAAAAACTATAAATAAATAATTTTTTTAAATAAACTTTTCTTGATACTGCAATTAAATTTATTTACCTAATTATCGTTAAAATTCTTTTACATTCTCTCAATTTTTTTTTTTTAATTTCAAATTCACAAAACTGTTTAAATGCGAGAGTTTTAGAAGACTTATTATTTTGTTTAAATAGATTTTCAGAGAGTTTTAGAAGACCAAATTCTTTTTTTCAAATAGATTTCTTTTTAAAAAAATTTTAATAATAAAATAATAATTTTTTTTCAATATTAAATTTTTTAATCTTCTACTTCAATTTCAAAACAATTATTAAATTAAATGAAATCATTATTATTATTATTATCAAAGTAGAATCCATGGTAAATATTTTTCTTTTCATTTTATCAATAAAATAACCTTGTGTAATTACAAATAACAAAACATATTACAATAAAAAATTAAGCATTATATATGAAATTAGTCCATATAAGAAACAATTTGTAACAATTAATCATAAAAATGCAAAATAACTTCATAGCAGCCATGGTGATTGGAGTTCTTTCTCAGAATCAAGAGTTCTGAGGTTCGATGTCAGCTCTGACCAGATAAACAACATTGGTAAGGAAAGAGGTGTTAACTTTTTAGTTAGACTGCTCTTCCACGGTACTTTGTGATAAGACCCTTAATTCTTCTTGGAGCACCTTAACAACTTTTTAAAAAAGTCATAGTAGGTGATTGTGGATTGTTGTGAGGATTTTTCAAGTAGAAACTTTAAATTATTAGCTTATTCTTTTACAGACATAAGATGGCATTTTTCTGTATTTTTATTATTATTTATGATTTTAAATAAAGTGGACCTTTTAAAGATAATCTACTGTATTACTAATATAAAAATTCTATTTATCAATGGGATTTGATATTTAACAGATCTTTGTCATTTTCAATATATTTTTTGACATCTGTTTCGCAATTAAATGGGCTGTTTTGTAATTTTGAACAAGCTAAGATATAATTTCTCCGGTACTTTTTTTACTTTTACTTTTTTTAACCGTACTTTTTTTAACCGCTCTGTCTCAGTTATTTCTGTCACCCCCTTGGCCTCAGTTGTTTCTGTCACTGGTTCTGACTGTACTTTATATTTTTAAATTTTTAAACAATGAGACACATTTTCCAAATAATTTCTAAATTACCTGAATCTTGGTTTCACAATGATTTGGGTATTTAAGTAAACTACTAAAAAAAAATCTTAGAATTAACAATATTTCCAAAGTCGATAGCAATGAGTGCCACGCTGACGCTTTGTTTTGTTACAATGTTATTGGTAATTGTTTTATAAATTGCAAAAAACCTGTTTAAAAACGTAATTCATCTTTATTCTATCTTTTTCCATACCCATAATATTTTCTTATTTTCTGTTGAAAAAATATGCTAAGTTTTGCAAAACTATATCTGCTAAAATAATACAATCATTCAAGTTTTTGATGCATGTGGGTAGGTTGCACATGTTTGAGCATGTTAACATTTTGCACATGTTTGAGCATGTTAACATTGCATTGTTTTTTGCATATTTATATTTATTTTTGTCGATCATCATAATTTAGTCTTTCCTCTTAAAGAATATAAATGAATAGCAAATTTCAGAAAAACTCAAAAAAAATCAAAATAACAAAAAAATCAATCACACAAAAAAAAAATTAAATAAAATTGTATCTTCAAGGACAATATTAAAGTAAAAAGTAATACACAAAAACCATTGAAAAAACAATAATAAAATATTAAATCAAACATTTATACTCTTGAAATACCAAAATATAGCTCCATGAGTAACTTTATAAAAAATAAAAAAGATGAAAATAACTTTAAAAAAACGTTTTTTTCTTAATAAAAAGCTGCATCTCATCTTGAGCGTATCATCTTAAGCAACATTACCAAGTACTATCATAATTTAAATAGCATGACAACAGCTTATGTATAACATATAACCCGTAGAATTAGCAGTAGATAAGCATAAAATATTGAGGATATAATAAATTTGAGATGATCTTGTTTCATTCTGACATAATTACAAATTATTAAATAATAAAAAATTATAGCGAGGATGGTGATTTTTTTTAACAATAAAACAATGAAAAGATATTAATTACATAACCATGAAATTAAAGTAAATATCTTATATACACCATCGAACTTGCAAAATAAATAACACCGTCGAACTTGTAAAATAAATAACACCGTCGAACTTGTAAAATAAATAACACT